TCGATGTACTTCGTTCAGTTACGTATTGCTATCTACGGTAATGGGAACCAGTTGCTTGTCTTGGCATAAAATGATGGAAACTTTGTGACCAAGAACCCCCAGGACTCATCATCATAGGGATGATTACATCTGTTTGCAGGCATAAATATTTTTTAAGCTTAATATGCCCTTTATTTAAGATTCATTTAATAAACTAACTCTTCTAGATAAGAATTCAGATGGGAATGCACCTGAGCAATCTGTGAACCTTGTATCACCCTTTTAGAGTAATTTCAATTACATTACAAGTACAGTAAAAACCTTGTTAAGGCAGACCCTGTTTAGGAATTATAAGCTAGGAAATCGGTGTTCAATGATCCTCACGTTACTATGGTGGAAACAGAGTGTATGCAAATGGCGAATGTGTTAAACTTTCAGTTGACTCTTATTTACTGATTTGTATCATTACAATATTTTTGTTGCATTATACTGCATTTATTTATTCCTTACACTTCCGAATTTCATACATATACTTTAGAAAACTGAGGCTACAGGAGGAAAATACAAAAGAAAGTTTTCCTAAATACCCCTGCCATAAAATAGAGTACCACCTCCAATTTTTATGTCATTATTCAACGCTTTTATACATTTAGACACAATATCAGAGAATGAAAGCATCCATATTTTTGCATTATTATTGAAAAATTTAAACAATAACTATGACCCTAAGAAAATGGTTGGTAAAAACGAAGAATTGATGAGAAAGTTAAGCCTAAACCTTATCAGTGAAACCAAAAGTAAGTGTACAGCACCTTATGCACATTACTTCTTAAAATTAATTATGATTAAAAAACTTGTATCTTTCATGAAAATTGGATACAATGGTGTTGTACTCAATTTTGTTTAAAATGGCAGCCTTTGGGAAAAATTTCCTCTAAGGACAACTCTTATCTAAAACCCTACCCCAATTAGTCTGCCTTCGCTTTTTACATGACTTAAGATGTACAACCATAAATTTGTTTCAAATTATTCAATTTTTTTATATTCCTCCTTATCAGTACAGTGGTCTCCGCTAACTAACACAATTAAGCTCCAGAAGGTCATTGTTAACAAAAATTTTGTTAACAAAACCATGTTTCCATGGGATTTTGGGTAGTGGTTCCAGCTCACTGAAAATTACATACAAAGTAAAAAATGCAGTAAGTGCACTTACTTTGAGTGTGTATGTAGAAGGCTCCTGGTTGATGATGATGATGATTGGAATTGGAAGTGGGGGGTGGAGAAGGAGAAGGGAGAAAGAGAGGAAGTGGGGTGGAAGAGAAATCACCCCATACTTGATCAATCATTTCACCCATAAAATTTAAGTTCACTAGGTGTAATTAAGATTATTTCCTTAAATCAACACTGCACTGCAATATATTGTCAATATGTTAAAATAAATTTCAGAATGACCAATAATTGTACTGTAAAATGTAAAAATACTCTGTGTTCAGAGACCCACAAACAAGATGTTTCCTCCACTGAACAGAAATATAAGCTACAGAGCCTTGTTAGGTGAGTAGAAGTGGCTGATGCGAAACACAAAAACTAGTTCCTATGCAATTATGTTAAATAAATTAAAATGACTAAAAATTTAATATAAAAAACTTGAGAAAATTATTGAATAGTACAACATTCTTGATATTTACTCTAATTTTAACGAATATAAGCCCTAGAACTGATTTCTGTATTGGCGGACTAATCTTCCAACTAGTGAAAAAAGCTAAAGCATGTCAGAAACATTTTCATAAGAATAATGTTAAACGAGTTTTTATTAGATTAACGAAATGAAAGTCTTTTACAATTCAATTAGTTAACCGAAAACTAGATTAACAGCAATTAGTTAACCAAGGACCACTGTATTATATATATCATATTAATACTGACTGTGTACTGACAACTTACCTTATAACAATAAAGTATGTTTTATATATAAAATTTACACTGATAAACTCATTATTTCAAATTATATACCAGACAGAGAAGGTGACAGTGTCTGGTGGTGATAAGTAAGTAAAGTGAGAGCAGAGTCACCTACCTTAACTAGAACTAAGTGGTCTTCTGCCTACCTTGCATGTAATGGAACGATGCTCTTGGTAAGACCATTTCTTAACTTCTCCTTTTCATGGGAAATTAATTAAGGTAAGTATTAAACAAGAAATCAAATGGAAGTGTTGGGGCCTTGGTTTGGAAGGGGAGCTTGGTGGTAGAAACACACCTATGTTAGAAACCAGGACCTGGAATGTATGATGTTAGCAGATGCAAGCCAGGTTTGGCAATGCTCTCTGGTACAGTCACTTTGTACTGTAGCATGAGGAATTTATAGGAGTGAAACTTTAACTAGACTATTTTCAAAATACAGTTGTATTCAGAAGTTGCAAGAGGAAGTTTAAGTAGCTGCTGCCTTTTTGATGGCAAGAGAACCTTCCTCCACATGAAAGGATGAATGTATGTGTGGTCTGAAAGTGATGTTGTATAGCAATGAAACATGGCCAGTTAAAAAAGGATGACATTAGACTTGAGCGAGATTAAAATGAAATGAGTAAGAGTGGATGTGCAGTATGAGACTGAAGACAAGAGCCCTGTTTAGACTAAATGAGAGCTGAATCTTGATAGTTCAGTATAGGTGAAGTTTTGCATTTGAAACAGACTAAGATGGTTCAGGCATGGAGAATAAGATGGACCAATTGGGTCCAAGAGGTGCATGAGATTAAATGTGAAGTGGAGTAGAACCAGAGGGTAGGCCAAGAATTACATGAGGAGGTTGTAGAAATAACACATTAGGGGATTAAAAGGCTTGACAAGAGATATTGCAAAGATATGCAGCATGGAGGAACTGCTATCATGTAATAATGGCCATAAAACATTGATGATGATTATAAAAATAAGCTTGAAAAAAAAAAAATTGGGCAGAAGGTACAGTTCAGATAACAATGGAGTTTATGGGACAATGTATGTAATTTATACAACACATGCTTCTGTGGTTCAACATTGTGAAGTAAGATGTCCTCCTGATCTTCCATTGTTTATTTACTCATAGTTTGAATCTTGTTTTTCTTGCAAAAGATAAGTTCTTTAAATTCTATGTCAATAAATTATACATCATATTGCATGTTAATGTAATATTTGTGACACTGTGGCTTTTATAACTTTCAACTATCCATAAATATCAACTTAACTCCTTGGCATGTTGAACATTAAGTATTGACCTCAGGTTTACTTCTTCCTTTCCCAGACCTTCTTTTTGGACACCACCAACCGCTGTAAGCTCAGGACGGTTGTTTCACGAGGGTCCCAGAGAGAACTTGCTCAACAGCGTTGCCCAGGAGGCGCCTGGTTAACACATCCACTGTAGAGACCCCAACAGCGGCACAGATAGAGACGGTGATCCTGAGGGTATGATCAACTGGACCTGCACTGTAACTCAATATGCATCATCCAGGGCATCAGAGTGGGTCATCCAGTCTAGTTTACATCATCAGTCTTTAACCAAGAGTGAAGATTTTTACCAGCTTCAGTGCGAAGATTATTTTCCATTTTATATATCACTACTGCTGTACAGTACAGCTCCTACGACTTCTGACGGGGTTAGGTATATTGCCAGATTCATGATGTGCGCCCAGTACATAGGGACTAAATCAGGTAAATACCGGAATAGTAAGTCAAATGCAAAAATAATACATATATAATCTAAAATGAAATACAGTACAGTAAAAGTAATCAATAATGAAGAATGAATACAGTGTTACTGTGCACTTACCTTTATTATAGTCAGCTGAATGCATACGGGGCCTCAATAATTTTCCATTTACATGTATACATGGAGACTATATTAATTGGATGAAGCAGAGGAGTTGACAGGGCTGGGTGGGTCATCAATGTCGCTTTCTTCAGACAGGTTTATGTACGGGGGAAACTTGCTGGTTGAAGGTATTGGATCATCTTTAGGGAGTGAAGAGGCAGCACTGGTGGGGCATGAGGACACAGCAATGGGGGACTTCTTAAAATAGATGTCCAATTTAGACTGCACAGTTTGCTTTTTCTTTTCATTATAAATCTCCCTGTAGCAAGCAAGTGCATCTTGGACCATTCTGTCAACTTTGGCAAAACGCTCAACATTTTGATCCATTCTGTCAAAACAATTGCATCCCCTTATTAATTGTAGCAAATGCCTCTGCCATTTGCTTCACTGAGAAATTTTTGGGGGGTGCAGGTTCTTCTTCTACATTTAAACTCTCTTCTTCCTCTGCATTTTTCTGTGCTTCCAATTCAATAAGATCCTTGTTACTTAGCTCTTCTGCTGCACTTTCAACCAACTGTTCAACATCTTCATTATCAATTTCTAACTCAAGCTGTTTACCCAACTCCACTATCTTGTTACTAATCTCAGAAATTACGAGGTCTGTCCGGAAAGTATCCAGCCCTTTACTATTAAAAAAAATATTGCTTACCAAGGACAATGGCGCCTTAGTCCCCTTCAAAGTACCCCCCTTGGAACCTCACACACTTCTCCCAGCGTCCCTTCCACTTTTCAAAACAGTCTGCAAAGTCCTCTTTCGGGATCTTCATCAGCTGCCTCGTCACATTCTCCTTAATCTCGTCCACGGTCTGAAATCTCCTCCCTTTCAACAGCGATTTTAGCTTTGAGAAAAGCCAGAAGTCGAAGGGAGCCAAATCTGGGCTGTAGGGGGACTGAATGACCTGGGCGATGAGATGTTTTGCCAAAAAACCCTGCACGAGATGTGAAGAATGTGCGGGCGCATTGTCATGATGAAGCTGCCAGTAACCACTTGCCCACAGCTGCGGTGGTTTTCTTCTTACCGCATCCCTCAGCCGGCGAAGAACTTCGATGTAGTACTCCTTCGTTATTGTTTGGTCATTGTAAAGGCGACGGTCACACAGTACCCACGCTCACTCAACGGCGTCTGCCGGGCAACTGAGTTGTCCCACGGGAGTGTGGCTGTTCAAGCATGCGCAGTACGGTCCTCTCTGAGTGGCTGCCAAGTTACATCAAGGCCGCGCGACCAGTTCTCACAATATTCACAATGGCTGGATACTTTCCGGACAGACCTCGTACTTCATCTTCATTAAATCCTCTGAAACTGTTCACATATCTTTTCAGGACTTTCTTCCATATTCCATTCATCCACTGTTCTGTAACCTCATCCCATGCTGCAATAATGTTCTTTATATATGTCAAAATATTGTAGTCCTTCCCAAACTCTCCGAGCGTTTTCTCACCTTCAGTAGCAGCAACAGCCTGAGCGAAGGTCGTACGTAAATAATTAGCTTTAAAAGCTGCAATAGCTCCTTGATCCATGGGTTGGATGACAGAGGTAGTGTGAGGAATGTAGACTACCTTAACATCTGGGTGCATGTCGTCCAGGTGTGGTGGGTGTCTAGGAGCATTATCCAAAATTAACAAAATATTGAATGCAATCCCTTGCTGCAGACAATACTCCTTGGCTCGAGGAATGAAACAAGTCATGAACCAGGATCATCCAGGCTTTCTTGTTACTTCAATAAAACACTGGCAGTGTGTGCTTGCTGACATGATTAAAAGCCCTGGAGTTCTCTGAATGATAGATCATGAAGGGCTTTAGCTTGAAACCAGCTACATTCCTCCCCAACAGAAGTGTAAGTAGGTCCTTGAATGCCTTGAATCCTGGCATTGTTTTCGCCTCTTTATGGATGTATGTCCGTTCAGGCATACGCTTCCATAATTATCCAGTTTCATCCGCAGTGAATATTTGCTCAGGCAAATAATTTCCTTCCACGATGACATGATCTAGCGCCTCCTTAAAAGCTTCGGCATCAACAACTTCTGCACTAGCTGCCTCTCCACTCACCTTAACATTATGTAAACTGTAGCGGTTCTTAAATCTGTGAAACCACCCATGACTTGCTGTGAAGGTTTGCTTGCACTCATCTCCTGCCTGCTCCTTCAGGCTTTCAAAAAGGCTTCTTGCCTTAGCCTGTAAGGCGAGAAGGCTTAAGGGTACATGCTTTTGTATCTGGTCTTCCATCCATATCACAAGTAATTTTTCCATCTCATAAATAGGACCTTGTCTTTTCTTCGTTATTATAGTACCCCTTATAGGTGCTGATCCTTTCACTACCACACGAATACGTTCCTTGTCCTTCAAAATAGTAGATATGGTCGAGTGCGAGAAGCCTAGGTCGCGTGAAATTGTTGCTACAGTTTTTCCATTCTCATACTGCATTATCATCTTCATTTTCGTCTCAAAAGTAATTGACTGTCTCCTTTTCTTCCGAGCACTACCAGCACTCTCACTTGTACGCTTTCTAGTCATTCTAAAGTCAATTAAATACGAAAATAATGTCAGTACACAGCGCGATCACTTGCGGATACAACGACAGCCAAACATCAACTAAGCGCTCTATGGCGTGGGTGCTGTAGCTACGCGGCAACCCAAGCCACGTGATGCTCTCGTATGGGACGGAAACGTTTCGGTATAGGAAATGCGCGCGTCATTTAAAAAAAAATTTGGTACCGACTGCGGCGGTCGTATGTGCGGGTGGTCGTTACGGACTGAGGCAGGTCGTAAGTGCGGGTGGTCGTAGGTCGAGTCGTTCGTAAGTCGGGGAGTTGCTGTATTTATTTGTTTTTTATGTCCTTTAGATTGAGTTTTTGTTTTTGTTTATAAAATGTCATAGAAGTGACCGGGTTGAATATAATTTACATTGCTGGAATTCTTTTAAGATAGTGATTAATTTGAATATAAAAATGCTATAGTTAGCATTAGACAAAAATTTTAGTAATCATTTAGTAAATTATTTTGAGTACATGTACAGTACAGCTTTGCCCTTAGGACATTGTAGCGTGCCCAGAGAAACATTAGGCGCGAATTTTAAAATATGGTGCGCCAGATAAACTTGCGCAAAATAGGAAAGATTCAGTTTAAATTAAAACATTGTCCTTCATTGTGGGTGTCGCTTTAAATCAATAATCTTAAATTGAATCGCTTTAAATCAATGTTCTACTATATTACATTCAATTGAGTAAAGTGTGTAACAGAGACGTGACCGACCGCCCAAGCGACTTGCAAAGCGATCAGTGGTGAAGATAAAAGAAACAGTTCTGTTCACACCTGTATCAAATAGAGCTTTTGGTTTTTTTAAATACAGTAAAACTTCGATTAACCACCCACATATGGGGGGAAGGGGCCGACGGATAATCCAAAAGGTCAGTGAATAGTAAATAAAGTCTATGAAAATAAAACATACAGTATTACCCCGCCTAACGCGGTTTCACTTAGCGCGTTTTACCATATACGCGGTGCCTCGCCAGAGCTGAACTTTCACTTAACACGGGTTTTTTCCACATATACGCGGTGAGTGTCCGGCTCGAGACGCTATTTTTAGATTTGCCCCACCCGTCACCCTGCCTGACTGCCTGTTTTAGCTCATAAAATTCATACAAATTACCCGGCCAGAATATAATTTACATTGCTAGAATTCTTACAATATGATGATCATTTTGAATATAAACATCATAGATTTTGCATTAGACATACAAATTTTAGATAAAATGTTTACTCTGAGTAAATATGTTATTTTTTGTGCAAAATATATGACATTTGTATTCAAAATATTCCTGGTCTTACAAGGAATCCAGCAATGTCAATTATATTATCCTAACTTTAGTTTGAGGTATTATTTATTAAAATTTAGTGGTTTCCCCCAAAAATTTCTCAGAGAGGGAAGAGCCAGCAGTGTAGTGTGAGAAGAGGGGGAGGGAGTTGAGTCCATTGTTTGAATGGACATTAACTTGGCGACTGTATTTCTCTATTTCTCTTAAGTATTAATTGTGTGCATGTACCATCATAAAATTAAGATGTTATTTTTACTACAACATAGTTATGTGTCGTCAAAAAGTGGAGTTTGGGGGTCGGGCCGGTTTCTATTGGAATTTATCCCATATGTTCTGTTGTTCACTTAACGCGGTTTTCACTTAACACGGTACCCTCTGGGTTTGGGTTTTATTGACCGCGTTAAGTGGGGTACAACTGTACATTTTCAATTTGAAATCTGTGTAAGTACACAATAAAATATAATTATGTATTTAGCATCTATAGGTAGTCCCTGACCTACGACCGACTCGACTTATGTCCGCCCGCACTTACGACCTGCCTCAGTCGTTCCAAAATGTGGTCAAATTATGTATTTTTGAGTCCCAAAGTCAGTACACAGACAAAATTTGCATCTGTAATTCACTTTAAAATGGCTGGCAAGCTTAAAAGTGAGTGTTTTATGGTGCTGAGAAGAAAAAGAGACCCAAATTTTTTTATTTTCTGTGTTATTTAAGCATTTCCGACTTACGACCATTTCGACTTTAACGACCTGGACGTCGGTTCCTAACCCCGCCGTAAGTCGGGGAGTACCTGTACGTGCAATATATTTTTTCCATAAAATGCATATTAGTGTATAAACAATATTTAAGATTTGTTTACTTTAAGCACTATATGCACTGAGTAAACAAAAAATTTTTTAATCTAAGCACTATATGCACTGGGATAAGGAAAAATCAAACACTGTATAATCGATTTTCCTATTTTATCATTTTATTGCCCATTTATTTATTTATTTAGTTTAGGGGTCCGGGATCGCCGGTTAATCCGAAAGTCGGTTAATCGAGGGTCGGTTGATCGAGGTTTTACTGTATATTTATTTAACCAAAATTGTGTCTAGGTAACGAAATTAGAACCGATTTTACTGACTCTGGTATCAACATTTATATATTTTTTATGTAAAAGAATGGGATTCCCATCACTATATCATTTAGAAATATTTCGTGTAAGGATATCTTATTGGAAATGTTTCGTACAGAATTTATCAAGGATCATTATGGTATCAAATTAATCTCCCAATCACAATTGGCCACGCTTGAGTGAGGAAGGGGGGGGGGGGGGGAAAACTGATCACGCAGCCCTTCCCCCCAAAAATGGTTCGACCCCCACATACCCCTAACAACGGAATTAAGACAGCAAACATAAGGAGTGAGGGTCTTATTGTGTGACAAATTTGCGAGTGTGTGACTGCGACTTAAATATCAGCTGTTGAGAAGTGCTTGGCAACACTTATTTCCACTCCAACTCTTTAAGTACCCACACCTTTCTGCTTTCTCACTCCATTTATACTTATACTTACACAATCTCTCTAAAAAATACTGTAGGTTTCGTGTTTATTCAAGACATCTTCAGGTCATGAGACCCACTAATCCCCTGGCCAAGAAAGGGTGACCTGACATTCCATCAGAAGGTCAGTAATATGAGACCACTAATACCCCACCCTACCTCCACCTGACATTGCGTCAGGTCAGGAACACGAGACCCACTAATCCCCCACAGCTCCATGGGAGTGGTAAATACCAGTCTTTGTTGTAACACAGTTTCATTCACTCCCATATCATATAGATTTTTATTTTTCAAATATATTTATTTTACCAAACATTTAGATAAATATTCTGGATTATAGTAAAGAAATGGAGTTTCTAACTTAATTAGAACTGCATTTACGGACTCCGGTAATTTAGACTCAAGGAAAACATCCCCAACACCCAGAAACATTCTGGGGTAGTGGGCTAGTGTCTGTGCGTGCAAGATGTCTAGTTTAGACACTAGGAAACTTTTCCCAGTAACCGGAAAAATTCCAGGGATAAGGAATTTTTCGGGGTTTGAGAAAGTCTTCTGCGTAGCCGGAAATCTCTCATCCCCGGAAGTGCTCTGCACCAATTGTTCCGGCTAACGGGGATGTCACTGTACTACACTACAATGCAACTACACTAATTTTAGCAATATTACTTTGATACAACATGATAAAATGGACAAACAATGAAAATGAAACAAACAAAAGTAGGTCCCACACAGGTACTTACATTCAGGAAGCTTCCCTGTGGCCAAGCGTGTGGCATAACAGGCAAATAGTCACGCTGGAACCTGATAACCCACGCTGGGCATTCAAACAATGCCGCAAAAAGGCGCACATTTCGGAACTTTAACTGGGGCGTAAGGGTTAAATTTCCACAAAATCAAATTTCCGTTATTTTTTCTCGATTTAGCAAACTACTTTGCTAAATTGAGCGTGATTCCATTAAATTCCACATCAAGTGCGCCGCTTGGTGCGTGGGGTTTGCTTACATCCACTTAGTCTGTGTCCTGCCACCACCACGTGTGTTGGTCACTGCTACCTCTCGGTCTACATCTCGGTCAACTAACTACTGTGCTTAGATATCATGCTGAAAGTTTAAAAAAGGAAGTGGTATGGGGGAGAAAGTCAAAAGAGTGAGGCATTCAATTCCACAAAAGTTTGGAAATTATAGAAAAAAATTAAAACAAACACTGAACCCCCTAGTTTAAGGTAAATCCATGAGGTGTCTGATGTGTCTCTGTAGGTGTGAGCATATTACTGGAATTATCTCAATTTAGCAAACTAGTTCACTAAATCTTGTGAAAATAATGGAAAAAATTTCCTTCCACCAAATTGAGAGTTTGCTATATTGGATTCCATTAAATCGAGAGTACTGTATACTGTGCTGTATATATTATTTTAATAAAACTAAGGCTACAGGAGAAAAATACAGACAAATTATTTCGTAAATCCTCCTTGCCAAAATGGGGGGTGCATCTTATGCTGTAAACTACGGTACTGTATTTTTGGTATTTTTTATATCATTATTTATCATCTTTATACATTTAGTACATTCGCCGGGGGATTCAGACAATCGGCTTTTTCGGACAGGTGGTCCCCCCTTTTAGCCCGGATCTTCGAGGGTTTACTATACTGCACTCTGTATTGTCTTTAATAGGGATACTGTACGGTGGTCTAATCAGGTTTGATACAGGCCTAACAAGAGCTAATATGTATAAGATGAGGTGGAGGGAGGGAGGGGGGGATCAGGCTGCTGCCATGATCGCCATTTTTTTTTTATTTATTCATTATTATACAATATTCTTGTATGATCAGCCTATTATGGCATATGTTTCATAATAAATGATATAACCTACAGTATTAAATAATATAAAAAATACAGTACAGTATATAGTTTGACTTCAAATAAAATGACAATCTGAATCAGAAGATAATCTCTTCCTGGTCGGTGGTGGGACTATTTCTTGCCGCGTTCACATTTTCGTTTTCATTCAATTTAGTATTCTTGAACGATCATTCTCTTATGGTGTATGTTTCATCATTAATAATATAATATATTAAATAACAGAAGAATTAAGCTCTGTCTGTTTATGTGTGTGTATGTGTGTGTGTGTGTGTGTGTGGACACACAGGGTGGTGAAATGCATCTAATGTGTTGCATTATGTCAGTGTTAAGGTGCAAGCACTACTTGCTCCCTCTCACTTTCAGCTGCTGCCGCTGGCTTGCCCTCTTGGCGAACAAGGAAGCAACTTGATTAAGTGCATAAGTCTTCCCCTGCCAGGACACAGCCTCCTCACCATAAAAACACCTGCTGTGCCTCCTCATTGCAACACATAGTAACTGGGTGCCTCGTGGGCCCAGGCTAGACCAGCAGAGGATCTCGGAGTAGCAGTGGGCCCCAGAGGGACAGCGCATAGGCCAACTGGCCTGTGGACACGTCCTGTCACCTTCCAACCATTGCCTCGCTGCCTTGCGGATTAACCTTTTTAGGCATAAGGCTACGGGAGTAAACCCCGAATGAAAAATCTGCGGTTGAGCCCTGCATGAGGCAGACATGCGTACAGAGCTCCAACAAGACCCCCAACGGCGGTGTAGGCGGAAGAGGTGACCAAAATGGGAACCCAACGACTACGCTGGTGGACGAAGGCAATGCCTGATGGTCAGGCTACTAAGGCGAAACCCAATAAACTGGGCTATCGGCAGTCCATTGCAACTCTCCCTCTCCCCGGTTGTTGCAACACCTGCACCACTGGATCAGGAAAAGGGAGAGCCAAGACGTGTGGTTGCAGCCTGCGCTCCTGCCTCACCACATAAATCAACTCACTCGCAGCCATCATCCCACTCATCACACCTCTCATCATCATCAAAACCCCTATACCCCAAAAGTCCTACGGCGATGGACGAGTGGCGATGAGGATAGGCAGAGATGACTGCCAGTAGTCTTTAGTCACAACTCTGCACATGGGCAACACAGATAAGATGGTCGTTTATGCACTGGGATCTAGGCAGCAGTGCAATCTGGTCCTGTCTGTGCGACTGAGCAGACCTTACGAGGAGCCAATCTGCTCACCCCCACACAGGGAGGGGGCTAGAAAAGGTGCCCTAAACATAGCCTGCCTAAAAACCCAACCTGACTGGGCAACCGCACCCAGTAAGGTCATCCTTATGCATTTGAAAACACAATCAAAATCAAAGATCCAAACAAAAACAAACTATACAACCTCTTATGGTCGCTGCATGGAATGTCAGGACCCTCCTGGATACTGGCAGAAGTGAGCATCCTGAGAGAAGAACTGCCCTTGTGGCAAAAGAGGTATAACATCGTCATAGCGGCCATTAATGAGTCCCAGCTCCCAGATGAGGGTCAACTCACAGAAACGGGGTCTGGCTATACCTTCTTCTGGAAGGGTAAGCCTGCTGCGGAGAGAAAAAGCATTTACGGAGATGGCTTTGCCATCCGCCAAAGCATCCTACACAGGTTAATTGAAATGCCTATTAGGATCAATGAGCGCCTCATGATGCTTCGAGTCCCACTGAATCACTCATGTCATGCCTTTTTCATCAGCGCATATGCCCCAACACTGGATGCAGAGGATGACATCAAGAAGGCCTTTTACGCCGACCTTGAAAGAGTGCTAACCTCTATCCCCAGAGAAGACAAGGTTGTGCTCCTTGGTGACTTCAATGCCAGAGTTGGCAGAGATGCTGACATTTAGCAGGGAACCATAAGGATAAATGGACTTGGCAAATATAATCTCACGGCTTACTCTTCCTCAGCAAGTGCGCTGCACACAACTTCACTATCACCAATACCTTGTTTAGACAGGCCGACAAGTCCATGGGTTCATGGCAACACCCACGATCCAAACACTGGCATCTCATTGACTGCATCATTGTCAGAGAAAGAGATCGCTGAGAAGTCCTCATCACCCGTGCCATGCATGGCTCAGGCCACTGTGACACTGATCATCGGCTCATCAAACCCAAGCTCTCTCTTCACGTTGCCCCAAAACGGCGAAAACAGCAAGCCTCCAGAAGAGGTTTTAATACTAAGCGTCTTGAGGATCCAGCGGTAGCACATGCTTTCAGGGAGCAGCTCGAACATGGGCTTAGAAACAACCCAACAGCAAACAACACAAATCCCAGTGCTGAATGGGATATTCTCAACACTGTTATGACATAAACCTACAGAAACACCCTCGGCCAGATCGAAAGAATACACCAGGAATGGTTTGATGAAAATGAACCGGCAATCAATGTACTCACTGATGATAAACATGCTGCTTTTACTGACTGGCGAAACAACCCTCAGTCTCGGACCAAAGCTGATACCTTCCGCAAGAAGAAAGCGGCAGCCCAGAGGGAAATTCGCATTTTAAAGAATGGCTGTCTTAAAAATAAAGCATGAGATATACAAAAACATGCAGATCAGCACAAGATTCACAAATTTTTCAATTTCACTAAAACATTTTATGGGCCAACCACTCGTGGCACAGCCCCCCTCCACTCATCTGACAGTAACTTCATAATTAAAGACGACGAAGGCCTCCTTCAGCGCTGGAAAGAGCACTACCATTCACTGCTCAACCGAAACACCGATGTGTATGTTCTGACTACCCAGCAGGTCCCTCAGCATTCAGAGCTGAACCACCTCACCTATCCTCCATCCCTCGATGAGGTAGTTACTGCCATCAAACAGATGAAAAATAACAAAGCCTCAGGGCTTGATGGAATCCCAGCCGAGGTGTATAAAGCAGGAGGACCTCTGCTTACCAGACATCTCCACACTCTCCTGGGGAATAAATGGGAAAAGGAGGAAATCCCCCAAGCTCTTACAAGCTTCCATTGTCAATACTTAAAACAACAAGGGAGACCGGTCAAACTGTGGCAACTACCGTTTGATCTCGCTGCTCTCTTTAGCTGGCAAGATTATCGACCGAGTCCTCCTAAACAGACTCGTTCGCGAGGCGGAAAACTTCCTCCCAGAATCTCAATGTGGTTTTAAACCATCATGTTGCACAACTGACAGGATCTTTGCTGCCTACCAGATACAGGAAAAGTGCAGAGAACAGCGTCGTGACCTGTGCTTGGCTTTCATCGACCTAACCAAGGCCTTCGACTCGGTCAACAAGGAAGCCCTCTGGTGGACCCTCAGCCGTTTTGGCTGCCCACCAGAATTCTTCGTCATTGTGAGGCAACTCCACGATGGCATAAGCGGCAGTGTCCTGCACAATGGCACCCAGTCTGAGTTCTTCCCCATTCAAACAGGGGTTAAACAAGGGTGTGTACTGGCACCAACTCTCTTTTTCATTTTCTTCGCTGCCTTCCTTACTCATGCCAGTGCCAATTTAGCCGGCGGGGTGGACATCGAGTACCAGATGAATGGTCTTTTCAACAAAAGATAACTCCAGGCAAGAAGAAAGGTGTCGACAGCTTCCATTACTGAACTTCAGTATGCAGACGACCTCACCCTTGTTGCTCACACTGAACACGACCTACAGGAGATCCTGAACACCTACGCAGACGCGTATGCGCACTTCGGCCTTGAGGTGAATGTACGTAAGACTCAGATTCTCTTTCGGCCTGCCCAAGGTTCAGACACACCTCCACCATCCATCCAGCTTAATGGTACTACCCTCTCTAATGTTGACCACTTTCGGTATCTCTGCTCCCACCTGTCTACCACCGCAAATATCATGAAGAGATTCAGCACCGGATCAGATGTGCTTCTGAAGCCTTTGGCGGACTCCAAAACCGTGTCTACAGCTGTAGGGAGCTGAAATTATCTACAAAGCTGCATGTATATTGAGCAGTGGTCCTCCCCACCCTGCTATATGGCAGTGAGACATAGGTCACATATAGGAAGCAACTCAAGGCTCTTGAAAACTTTCACCAACATAGTCTACATTCCATCCTCCGAGTTTGCTGGAAAGACAAGAGAACAAATGCTGAACACCAACTGTAGGAGCATCGAGGCTACCATTATCCATGAACAGCTATGCTGGACTGGCCATGTTACCCGCATGGACGACAGTAGACTGCCAAAGCAGCTACTTTACAGTCACCTAATGAATTGTAAAGTAACGCTGGCGGGCAATTCAAAAGGTACAAGGATAGTCTTAGGACAAACCTGAAGAAGTGCCAAATCGACACCCTCACCTGGGAGTTACTCCACATCGTAAAGCTTGGAAGAGCACCACACGAGAGAAGGTGTCAATACTTGAGTTAGCCCGACTGCAAACCGAGGCAGACAAGTGCCACCGCCCCTCCCGCACTAGATGCAGCCCTCCACATGTGGACGATGCTGTGGGTCGTCGTGAAGAAGAAGGAGGGAGGAGGGGAGGAGGAGGAGGAGGAGGGAGAGGAGGAGGAGGAGGAGGAGGAGGAGGAGGAGGAGGAGGAGAGGAGAGGAGGAGGAGGAGGGGAGGGAAGGAGGAGGAGGAGGAGGAGGAGAGGAGGAGGTGAGGAGGGAGGAGGGGAGGGAGGAGGAGGAGGGAGGAGGAGGGGAGGGAGGGAGGAGGAGGAGGGAGGAGGAGGAGGGGGAGGAGGGGAGGAGGAGGAGGAGGGAGGAGGGAGGAGGAGGAGGAGGAGGAGGAGGAGGAGAGAGGGAGGAGGAGGAGGAGGAGGAGGAGGAGGAGGAGGAGGAGGAGGGGAGGGAGGAGGAGGAGGAGGAGGAGGAGGAGGAGGAGGAGGAGGAGGAGGAGGAGGAGGAGGAGGAGGAGGAGGAGGAGGAGGAGGAGGAGGAGGAGGAGGAGGAGGAGGAGGAGGAGGAGGAGGAGGAGGAGGAGGAGGAGGAGGAGGAGGAGGAGGAGGAGGAGGAGGAGGAGGAGGAGGAGGAGGAGGAGGAGGAGGAGGAGGAGGAGGAGGAGGAGGAGGAGAGGAGAGGAGGAGGAGAGGAGGGAGGGAGGAGGAGGGAGGAGGAGGGAGGAGGAGAGGAGGAGGGAGGAGGAGGAGGAGGAGGAGGAGGAGGAGGAGGAGGAGGAGGAGGAGGAGGAGGAGGAGGAGGAGGAGGAGGAGGAGGAGGAGGAGGGAGGAGGAGGGAGGAGGAGGAGGAGGAGAGAGGAGGAGGGAGGGAGGAGGAGGAGGGGAGGGAGGGAGGGAGGGAGGGAGGGAGGGAGGGAGGGAGGGAGGGAGGGAGGGAGGGAGGGAGGGGAGGGAGGGAGGGAGGGAGGGAGGGAGGGAGGGAGGAGGAGGAGAGGAGGGAGGGCTTAAATTCGTTACTATTTTAGTAAATCTCAAGAAGTTTATACTATTCAATAATTTTAAAAGTCTAATATTAAAATTTTTAGTCATTTTAACAAGTATTTAACATAATTTAAGTACAGGGAAACTAGTTTTTAGCGTGTCTTTTCAGTGGAGGTCATTTTGAAATTTATTTTACATATTGACAATATATAATGCAGTGCAGTGTTGATTTAAAGAAAATAATCTTGAATTACAGCAAGTGAACTAAAATTTTATGGATGAAATGGCGCCATGGGGTGACTTCTCTTCCACCCCAATGCCTTCTCTTCTCCCTTCTCCTCCACCCCCATTCTAATTCCCATCATCATCATCCAGGAGCCTTCTCCATACACACCTCAAAGTAAGTGTACTTTACTACCTTTTTTGTTGACTTTAGGCAATTTTCAGTGAGCTGGAACCAATTACCCAAAAACCCATTGAAACAATGGTTTCGGTTAACGAATTTTTCGGTTAACGAGCATCCTTCTAGAAAGAATTGTGCTCGTTAACCGAGGGCCACTGTAAACCATTAGTTATTATGGTATTATTATTTACCTCACACCAAGCACTCCCCTGCACCCCACTTCAGTGACCATCAATACGTCAGACACCAACACCCATCACCACCCTCCCCATACACCCATCTTCCCCTCCCAAGATCACACATGAAGTACCGTGGATATATGTATTTGTTTATGTTTTTTACCTTACGATAATTTTTTCTACACATTCTGTATGAACAATTGTGTGAATGTAACAGAGTGAAAGAAATTAAATAAAAATATGTATATCTACTCGAAATTAAGAGTTGAAAAATAATGACACAACTCAAAGATTGGCCTTACATCGCAATATGAAAGCAGCGGCTTGCCCGCCCAGTTTGAAATATTACTGTTGGGTATCATAATTTTTCATTTGTGAAGAAGCTAGGTATGTTTTGCGAATATCAAATAAGGGTGTTTAAATATTAATTGTGGATAAGCAGGGTTGCGATTATCGGGGATGTGAATAGAGAAATATTCGTTTATTTAAAAAAAAAATCACAAACTTGAGATCACTGACCTTTAGCCATGTTGTTGTATCATCTAGAGTAAGTGATGAGAAGGTTTCATTGAGGTACATCTTGAGTGCTGCTGCTCGCGGGGCCAACTCGGCCACAGAGGAGTGATTGTCACATGATGCTCCCACAAAGATTGCATAGTCACACCTGGCACCTCTACTTGCAAGCTGTGGAAGAGCATAATACAAATTCATTATTAATTCATGAACTACTGTAGCATTTGTCGAATTGGTCGTAAGTCGAAAAGGCGAAAATAATCCATATAAATTCTAAAATGGGTGTCTCTTTTTCTTCTCAGCACTACGAAAACTCTCACCTTTACGCTTGCCAGCCAATTTAAAGAGAATTACAAACGAAAATTTTGTCAGTACACAGCGCGATCACTAACGTCGGGACTCGAAAAAACGTAATGTGAAAAATATTTTATACGACCATGGCCGTCGTATGTCCGGGTTGTCGTAAGTCGAAAATGTAGTAAGTCGAGGAGAGACTGCACAGTACAGTAATTACTGTACAGTATATACAGCAGACCCTCAAAATGCAAGTGTGCTACTTTACCATCAAAAACTGTACAGCAAAGTAAACTAAAATTTACCTTAACCTGTAAGAATCTAAACCTTTCTCTTTACAGTTTTACCCCGCCTAACGCGGTTTCACTTAACGCGTTTTCGCATATACGCGGTGCCTTGCCAAAGCTGAACTTTCACTTAACGCGGATTTTTTCCACATATACGCGGTGAGTGTCTGAGACGCTATTTTTAGATTTGCCCCACCCGCCACCCTGCCTGACTGCCTGTTTTAGCTCATAAAATTCATACAAATTACCAGGCCATAATATAATTTACATTGCTGGAATTCTTATAATTTGGTGATCATTTTGAATATAAACATCATATATTTTGCTTTAAACTTACAATTTTTAGATAAAAATTTTTCTTTAGGTAACTATGGTATCTTTTGTCCAAAATATATGACATTTATATTCAAAATATTCCTGGTCTTACAAGGAATCCAGCAATGTCAATTATATTATCCTAACTTTAGTTTGAGGTATTATTTATTAAAATTTAGTGGTTATCCCACACATCTCCTTGGGACGGTTGGTGGGGGGTGGGGGGGAGGGAGGGACCAACCGACCATCTGTTACCGTGTGAAGAATTATTATTTTTTTTTATTAACTGAAGATATTTGTTTTAGCTCATAAAATTCATACAAATTACCCGGTCAGAATATAATTTACATTGCTGGAATTCTTATAATTTGGTGATCATTTTGAATATAAACATCATATATTTTGCTTTAAACTTACAATTTTTAGATAAAAATTTTTCTCTAGGTAACTATGGTATCTTTTGTCCAAAATATATGACATTTATATTCAAAATATTCCTGGTCTTACAAGGAATCCAGCAATGTCAATTATATTATCCTAACTTTAATCTGAGGTATTATTTAATACTAAATGTTAAAAACTCTGGAAGGGAGGATTGGTGGGGGGTGGGGGGGAGGGTTGGGACTGACCGCGCGGTTGGAAGAGGGGGGGAGGCAAGGTGGGGTACTTTGATTGACAGATAGTGTCGTGAAGATTATTTTTTTTTTATTAACTGAAGATATTTGTTTTAGCTCATAAAATTCATACAAATTACCCGGTCAGAATATAATTTACATTGCTGGAATTCTTATAATTTGGTGATCATTTTGAATATAAACATCATATATTTTGCTTTAAACTTACAATTTTTAGATAAAAATTTTTCTCTAGGTAACTATGTTATCTTTTGTCCAAAATATATGACATTTATATTCAAAATATTCCTGGTCTTACAAGGAATCCAGCAATGTCAATTATATTTTCCTAACTTTAGTTTGAGGTTATCCCACACATCTCCTTGGGACGGTTGGTGGGGGGTGGGGGGGGAGGGAGGGACCGACCGACCATCTGTTAGCCGGCTGTGTAGTGTGAGAGGGGGAGGGAGTTGAGTCCATTATTTGAATGGACATTAACTTGGCGACTGTATTTCTCTATTTCTCTTAAGTATTAATTGTGTGCATGTACCATCATAAAATTAAGATGTTATTTTTACTACAACATAGGTATGTGCCTTCAAAAAGTGGAGTTTGGGGGTCGGGCCGGTTTCTATTGGAATTAATCCCATATGTTCTGTTGTTCACTTAACGCGGATTTCACTTAACGCGGGACCCTCTGGGTTCAATTGACCGCGTTAAGTGGGGTACAACTGTATATGTACTTCCCAGATACAGTAGATTCCCGGTTACCCGGAATCCATGCAAGCAGCAGATTCAACTAACCAGCACGAAAATTAAATAATAATACATAGTAACAAATATAAAATTCCTCCAAAATCAGCTAGAATCATTAGTTTGAATTAACGCAGGCAACGAGGATGAGCTGCCATATTATTCCTATGATAAGTAGTAAAATCGATATATAGCATATTAAAATATACAATAGCACATATTTTATGTATAAAAAATAGCTCTTTCCACAATCAAACCAACCTCTGGGCGACATCACACAGTTCAGCTAGTCACCCAGCTAACTCACAGACATGTAGCTGCCATGCTGCTGTGTGTATGCCATGACATCACATTGGAAGGAAGCGCTGCCACACAGTTATTGCCCAATGCCTCCACACACACACATTCACTTCCCACACATATACAACAATGCTATTCATTTTTCTTATTTTATAGTTGTATATTTTATTTTTTCATTTCTAAGCCATACTAATTTATATAGAGCGGAATAAGTGTTAAAGAAGTTTGCAATTCAGAGACACGAATTTGGGAGGTCAACTTGTAGTACTGTGCATTGTAGAATTTATTGGGGGTTCCTAAGAGTGAGAATAAACTAACCAGAAAATTTCTTTATCTGGCACCCCTCAATCTCTATTGGCGCTGGATAACCGGGATTCTACTGTATCTAGCTTAATTCTTTGACGGGAGAGGATGTTAAATCCTATTTATCCTGAATGCAGTGATGTTCTGTCAAAGGTTGATTTTCTTGCTGCTCTGATGTTCGTAACACATATGAGCAATGAGCCCATCTTCTCTGGTTGTCTCACTTGTTCTGCCGTTCTTTTGGAATCCTGCTACAATGTTCCCTTAAAGTTCATGGGGTTTTGGTAAAATGGACCCCACAAAAAAGCAAAATCCGCAAGTTTTTCATGGCGGTTCCTGGAGTGAGCAAAATACAGTACATATAAATAGCTATACACACATGTAGACCAGCAATATGTACACATATCCCTTAAATGAGGATTGAAACAATGCGACCTTCGCCCCTCTGCAGATTGCATTATGGGTCGTGCGGGGAGCAAGGGAGATTGTGTACTACATCTGACAACTTTCACTACTGGCAGCGAAGGATCTGTAGTGGGTACTCTCCACTACAACTGCCAACAGCCACTTTGTCGCTGACCAGCTGACCCCGCCGCGAGTTCCTCAGACCAAGCCTTGCTTTCGGACAGCACGGTGATTGGCCAGTTACCGCCTTTCACCTCAGCCAATCAGCAGCGCCGCTCACTTCCGGCAAACTTGTATAGATGTGGTATGAGGAACTCCAGAGACAACTATTTTGTGATTTAGAATATTATTGATATGTATTTTTGTAAGCCCCAAGGAGGAAAACATAATTATATTTTGTGGGTTTGAAATGGAATTTGCGCCAGAGCGAATGCATCCCAGCCCGGGGTGGAGAGACGCTATGGCGTTTTTTACATAACAAAGACGAGTCGGGTGAGCCCAGTAACAGACATTCACCCTGGAGTGAGTCGACACCAACAGCCACCTCCCTGTGTTATGCTGGTCCCAGCCTTTCCTACCTCGGGTGATTTCTAGAGTAAATAAAGGAGAGAAAACTATAAGTGTGTGTCATATCCCTGTTATGGGAGTTCCCTACTTTGTGCTTTGCTACACTTGGTGGAGATGCGGGGTATGCAATTGCTTGCATGAGTAAGTGGGGATTAACCCCTATAGAGCAAAGAACAAGCAGCACCCAGGCAGTAGTTATTATAGCCGAAATCACCTTGGGGAGGAGCACGGCACCACTGCCTGCTGAGGATCGACAGCGGAGGGGAGAGCTTGGATCGGTGAAGCAGTTACCTATGCAGAGAAGGACGGATCTAGAAGCAGCCAAGCATGAGTTACCCATCCCCACACCACGTTCCAGAGGAGAATTTGATCGTCTTGAGAAGCCCGGAGATAAGGGAATTGTATCACCAGAGTATCCTTCCTACCCTTATGTAATCAAGTACAAAAACTCACAAAACAGACGGAGCAGGGGTTGAGCAGTCCCACTAAGAGTGTTAAAATGGAAACTGGGGTCTCACAGTCTGAACAGGGGTGTTAGTATGCACAAAGAGGACAGTGTTGATCTTTTCCCGCAGGTGGTAGCCCATGAGATGAAGCTCAGGACTTTTTCGGGGACTCCTGATAATTTAGACCAAATTAATGTAGGCGAGTGGATAGCTGAGGCCAAGCGTAACATAAGGTTGCTTGGCTACAAGGGTAGAGGGGCAGTCAACTATATTCTTAAATTTCTCACTGGTCCTGCTCAGAAAAGGGTAGAAAAACTGGATTGGAGTGACAGTTGTAATAGTGAAGGGGTTCTCGCAGTTTTAAAGGATACTTATGGAGAAAATCTGATGCTGGGGAACTCCATTTTAGATTTTATCAGAGGACTCAGGGTGTATTAGAAAATGTGTAGACCTATTCAGATGCTCTCGAGACGCTGCATGAGGAGATCGTTAAAGTAGCCCCAACGCAAGTCGCCAGTAGGTCGGATAATTTGAAAGAGGTTTTTCTTAAGGGCTTAAGGGATCAAGGGTTGCCGAGTGGCTTACGTTGGATTGTCTTATGAGGAAATGGTACAGGTAGCTGCAGAAGAGTCCAAGAAGATGACAAAGCAGACAATTAAGGAAAAGAACCAATCTAAGGGTGTGGTTACAGCTATAAACTAATGTTCGCCCGTGGTTAAGGAAGTGGGAGAAACATTATACCCCCATGGAAGTGTACCTCAAAAGAGTGGGGTGGAGAAGATGCTTGCTGAATTACGAGTAGATATTCAGGCTGTGAAGACAGACCTAGTACAAATTAAGGGGTCACCAGAAGATAAACATTTTAACAAGGAAAGGCCACTCCCATT